GTCGCAACCCTACCTTCCCTTGCAATTTTATGGCAACCCTAAAACTGCTTTGTGGGGAAGCCATCTCACCATGCCTGTACATTTTGTAACAATATTTTTCATGAATTTTTCGAAAAAATTTTTCCATTGTAATAACCTATAAAGTTCTTGACATCATGATAAAGTAAACATCTAAGCACATCTGCAAAACGTTAAGAGTTTTTTTATTCAAAACTTCCAAAGATATATGTGAATTTACGTATCGGCACATTTTTTAAATATGGCATATTCGTTACAAGCGATAATAACGTCAAATGTGATTCACACACTTTGTTAAAATTATTTAAAAATAATGAACATGACCTTTTATCTGTTCGTGTACAATGAAAAAAAAGGAAAGGAAAATAGGGTGCTATAAATTAAGAAGTTCGCTAAGAGAATCATTCATGGCGCAAAATGAAAAAATAAAGCAAGAAAAATTTTTAAATTTCTCCGAAAATTTCGCACCAAATTTTACGAAACTGAATATATAGGCAAAATTAGAATTCATAGAATTGAAATATGGAAAAAAATTGCCTTCCGCAGTATACAAAAATTTGGTTTCAGAATCTGTCCAAATTCACAAATATGAAAGTAGATCTCAGAGAAAATAAACAAAAATAGATACTTACATGCACATATTACGAAAAAAATTTTAAGTATTTATGTATTAACGTAACCACTTCGATTCAGTGTTTTAGAGATGAAAAGGTCAAATTTACTTATTGGGTGCAACTTAGTGGTTTTCATTCCTTTTTTAGAAAGATTTCCAAACTATCAATATTTGTTTTTAAGTAGATATTATCAACATATGAAAAGAAAACATACTTCAGGAATTTAAAATGCAAATTTGAATTATTAAATAAAGATTATGTGGTACATTAAAAATTATAACACTTACATTCAAATCTTTCAATAAATTTTTTGCACTATTCTTCTCCAGAAGTACATCACTCAAAAAATCATCAGATAACGATAAAGATTTGGCTTTGTGCAACCTTCAGCAATAGCAGATATTAAAGAAATGCATTTTTTTGTTTCCTCTACAAAATTTTCAGCAAAATTCTATATTCTTGCAGAAATTTTACTGCAGTTTCTTCCACTGCTGGCAAATTAAAGAAGCTCATAGTTTAAAACTAAGTTTAAGATTAAAAAGTAACAATTTTTTTATAAAAACTGTTGATTTGGAATAAAACAAAAAAGAATGCAAATGAAATTGGCAATATTGCTTGATCGAGGTATTGTTATCAGCACGGTTGCTGGAAAAATAGTTACGAGCATGGTTTTCAAAATTTGGCAACTTTTTTAAGGCAGTTGCGTTAATTGTAAGTAAGAAATGTTATTAGAAGCATAAAAATAAGGTTAATTAAATTATATACAAAATGAAAATATTTAAGTTAGTAACATAACAATACTACATATGAATAAAATAAAAATGTAGTAATATAAATAAGTTAAAAAATTAGTTTCTTCCACTTTAGTAGTTAAAAAACTATTTCTTCCAAGTAGTTTTTTTCCATTGTGAAGGAAATTTTCCAACCCTGATTTTAATCCTTCGACAGTTAAGAGAGTAAGCAAGTCTTTCTTCCCAAATATGTGTGATATCCATCAGTCATAAATAATGTAAACTGTGTTCATTTGTACCCACTTTGGTGCATACCTGAAATGCAAGCTGAGCTCGTTGATGACTCACATCACACATTTTGGTCACATCAGAATATTGATGAAATATTTTGGCTCACAACCTGTAAACTTTAATGAATTCTATTCAAAATAACACTGAATTTATTTTATTTATTTTTTGTAGCATTCTATAATCATTCAAAACAAATTTGTTACAATTACTAAATCACTGATAATTTCATTAACTAATTTTTAAACCATTTTATAAATATGAATTTTCATAACTGATCTGAATTAGCATGCCTCAAAATTCCAATAATTTTGTCCGAGTAATATAAAAACTTAATCTAGTGCAAAACCATTAGCAATATTCCTGCTTGTTAATTAGCTTCAGGTTAATTTTATACCTATTAATCCTGATAAAACTAATCATGAACTTAAGGGTGAAGTGCAGAATCGCCCACTTATTTGGCATATTATGTTTGGCGCTTTTTGCAAGAGTAAGAAGAATTGGATTTTTGTCATTTTCCTTTGACTTTTTAAGTTAAAATACATTGATGTGTACATGGATACAGAGTTTGTGCAATTCTTAAAAACGTGCCTAGCAGTGGGTGATTCTGCACTTTCCACAAATTTTCAACACGCAGTGTGACTGATGGTCAATATTTTTATCAGGGTCTTCTTACTTCATTATCTTCTTTCTTGCAGCATTCAGTTTATCTTGAAAATTGCATTCTTTTTTCCTTTACAAACTAACACTGATTTAGGAAATTATAGATTTACATAGTTAAATGTTACACAGACATATAACATACATTCTACAATACAGTCTGGAAACCTACGCAAAATACTTTTTCATAATCCCGAACGCCTGTACTATCCTATTCTGCACGAGAGGGGGGAAATGTATATATTTTATTGACAATAGCACTTTTATGCATATAAAAAGCAACATTGTCATAGCATCCTATTTTATGCATAGATCATAATCATAATGAAAATAGGATGCAACATAGCATCCTTTTTTCATTATGATTAAAAATACGACTAATCTTTATTCTACGGTATCACTTCATTTTTTTTCTGAAAAAAATCATCAAGGGGTATTGGTTGTTCACCAAATCTGAAAGCCCGCCACGAGAAGTAGGTTTCTTGGGAACCCTATTGTTGATATTGTTAGCAAAACTACTGGCTACCATGATGGTTTTAACTTTGGTTTAGCTTCCTGATTTTTAAGTGAAAATAGATTGATGTGTACACTGACAAAGTTAAGGCAGTGCACAATGTCCAGTTTGTGCAATATTCTGATTTTTTTTTTTTTTTTTTTTTCAGTGAAAATAGATAGTTGTGTTTATGGACACTCAGTTTGTGTCAACTTCTTATTTTGGTTTTGTGTAACAGCCATCTTGAAATTGTACATGGATTCTGTGTTAAAAATAAAGCGATTCACCAAGGGGTACCGTACAATAAAAGTTTTACCAAAAATATAATACATTACTGCAAGTGATTAAACTTTAATAATTTCTATTTTTATTTCGAAATTTTTACTTTTGTATTCATAAGGAAAATTATATATACATATATGAATCTTAATTTGACAAATTTTAGAAGTGTGTTTATTAGATTGAGATTTTATATACTCATAATCTGAAAATTCAAAGATGGGGTGAATCTTTGGATTATGGTAACTTTGTGATTTTTTTGCAAAAATTTGGCAACCAACACTGCTACAGCAACCTGCTAGTTTTTTTTGGGAGGGGTGCCATTTTGTTTTCATGTTTTATAAGGTAAATATTTTTTATAAATAAAGGCTTTTTTTTTTTTTACTCAACGTTTTTTCCAACAATCTGCTATGCAAATTATGCTTATGCTAGAACTTTTATGGAACAAAAGTGCTTAATCATGACGAAGATTAGGTGCAAAATTGTTTCTAAGTGCTTATTAGCTAAAATCACGATTGGAATTTTCCGGAAAATGTCACATGACATGTCTCATGATCTCTCATTTCTCTGAGACAAAATAATCTGTGATTGGAACTGTGTACTTCTCAGATTATTGCTAAAGTCCTAGCTAGTAACCTTTATCCCCTTACCAAAATGTCGCCAAACTACCTGTTACCATATTCCAAAGATGGTTTATGCTGGTTAAGTATCATTATTTCGTACAACTTGAATCTATTATTATAAAATTTTAAACACCTTGTCAGAATTTTAAAAATTATGTAAGATTTTTTACAATTTTTCTTTTCTTATATAGATTTTAATTAATAACTTCAACATTAAATGTTTATGACACTGCTGAAATTAAACTATTGTATTTTACTGCTAAATTAGATCTTTTTGCTCATGTAGACCTAGACAACAATCAGAACTTGGTAACACATAGCTTACGGTTGAACCTTATAAAAACCTACAGACTGCATAATTCAATTTTCACTAGAGGAAATATTTTCAACAAATACAAAAATTCTTTTCGCGAAAAGTTTTTCTTCAATTATTAAATATATTTTTCGGCAATGATAAAAAAAATCCCTGTTCATTTAAAAAAAAAAAAAAAAAAAAAGAAAGAAAGAAAGAAAGAAAAAGAAAAAAGAAGATCAGAAATATACATATTAAAATCCTAAAACCGATGAAACAACTTTTCCCCCGCCTATAGTTGACAGGGCTTAATGGCATGTGCGATATATTATACAACGTATAAAATATTAAATATCGAGAAGATATTTAATATATTATACAACGTATAAAATATTAAATATCGAGAAGATATTTATTTTCGCATGCACTTTAAATACTAAATGCCATATTTTAAAAGCTTTAAGGTTTTTAAAAATATCCTTCCGAATAACACATGAATATGTGATAAGGGGACTTTCCCTTTTATTAAGTAACATGAAGTTACGAATACTCAGACATGGTAATACACATTTGAAAATTCTAATGTTTTAATTAGTACCACTAGGAAATTTACCTTTACATACTCTTACAATCAAGCTAATTTATTTAAATAAATCGGATAGTCAGTTTCAGAATATATATAACTCACTATAATTGGAAGAATTCTTCCAAAATTAAACTCTCCGAAACTGAAAGTGTTTACTGCCAACTGAACAATGTTTATCTTTTCGATACCACGTTGTTTTTGAATCTTCAAATCACTTCAATTCTTCATTATTGCCTTGCTTTATGTAAAACATCAAAGAATTTAATAAGCTACTCCCGTTTTTGACTACTCAAATGTTAAAAATAAAAAGTACAAACAATTATGCATTCCATTCCGAAAATTTTTCAGGTTTTTTAAATGTGTGTCAGCTGTCTCTTCTTCTCTCCCTCTCCCTTTCATTTCTTTTTTGACAAGTATTAACTGTGAAATCCCGGTTAACTGCAAAAAATTTAGGGCTTGCAATAATACGAGCGGTTGAGGACTGTAGTGCATAGATGTAGTGTTATCTGTTTACACTTAATTTTTTTAAATCCCGCACATCACCCACTGTTATCGTTAAAAGAATCCCAGTAAAGTGTCTAATTTCCGCTTCTACCTTTTATCCTTAAATTAGGTACGCGGGTGCTGAATTTAATATGGAATTCAGCATGAAGTCAATCAAAGGATTTGCAGCTGAAGCAGCTACTGCATTTAGTCGTGCAGTCCAAGTTCGTACTGTTCTTTTTTTTTTAATTTGTGTTGTGTAATTTTATGTGATCAAGGTATTATAATTTTAGTAATAGCTAGTGATTTTTCGTAGCTTTGTGGTGTACAATGATAAATTTCCTTTTAAGCATATCTGGCATATTTGAAATTATAAGAAAGTTTTAATGACTTGTGCTTCATAGAACTTAATAGTATCTTTCACCAAAATTGAAGTTTTTATGCAGCGCTTAGAAAGTTCTAATCTGATTATAGTCATGATATATATTTGATAAGTTCAAGTTATATATTTGATAAGTATAAAAAGTAGTATAGAAATTCAGGGTTATATAGTAGTGTTTATTAAAAAGTAAACTCTTTAGACGATGCTGCTTTTATTTAAAAGTATTAATTTGAAATCTGAAGAATGTTTCAGCTCAATTTAGTGCAAACCTCCAACTGCATAAATGAGTGTGATATTGAGAAACTTGGTTGCCTAACAAAGGATCATACCTTCTGTAAGTGAAACAAGTGTTAATGGGCGCTTCTCTTGCGCTTCACGAAAAACCAATGAGCAAGATTTGTCAGTCTATGACGTGAGGAAAAACATAGCATGAAGACAGCAAAAGTTGAATAACAGATGATTAACACTTGATTGGTATGTTAGCAGGTACTTGATGACAGTTATTTTGGTAAAAGTATATTTATGGGTACCCCTTGGCGAAAACTGGCGATTTTTGGCGGTACATGGATACTGAGTTTGTGCAACTCTGACTTTTTATTTTGTCTTTGTGTACACATTGACCTATTTTCACTTAAAAACAAATCACAGAATTGATCAAACTAGGCATTGCTCATTTCCTTGACTTTATCCATGTACACGTTGACCTATTTTCACTTAAAAAAGATATCAGAAAATTGCACGAACTTGGCATTGCACACTCCCTTGACTTGGTGATAAATGAATCAACAACTTTACAATAATACAAGGGTTACCCTTCAGTCTACTGTAACCCTATCTCATAATACATTGTATAAAACCTGTCTAGAACACTGTTAAATTCCTATATCTATTCTAGTCTTGGACAACTATTTTCTGTGCCGGGATTCCATGCATCACATCACACAGAAGAGAACAGTGCTACTGGCCACATCAGTAATAAATTATGACACACACCCTGAATAGGCACGTCAGGTGGACATACAGTCTTCATCAATTTTTTGGCTTCTATCATGTGACTATATAGCACTGAATGTATAACAGATGGTATAAGCTAAGCTAAAATTATCTAATTCAGTTAATGTTGCAGATTACGTTGTTCCTTAATCTTCGAATTGGATTCGTCTTATTATTTTTGCAGACTGTGAGAGCAATTTTATAAAAGTGAGCTTGAACTTTCGATTATATCAAATAGAATTTCTGATATATATTTACTAATATGTAAAGGATCTACAAAGCGAAGTATGTTGCGAAGTCCATTAAACAAAAAGTGGAATTGCTGCAAAAAATGGATAAAGGCATATCCTTTGTTTATCTTAAACACCGCAGCGCGCAATGAATTGGAAGTTGATCTGTCAGCACTATCCTTATCTTCAGGGCAGAAGTTTTTATTTTATTTGGCTTATAATTCCTTACTAAATGTAGTATTTCATCACGATGTACTCCGTCTTTGATATGATTTAAATCAAATTCCCTTTTCATTATAATTTGCTTCCAATAGCGAAGAAAGTGACAGAGGTTATTGAAAACGAAAAAATTTCAATTGACAAATTAGTCAGTATTCTCGTCACAGCAATTATAGAACTTGAAGAGCTGAACTTTGTAACTGAACAAGAAATTATGTCTGTTTATAGAATTAAAGAGAATGTATTATCACATAAAAAAACGAAGCAACTTAAACAACTTACATTGAAAGTAATGTTTAATAAAGTAAACAAATAAACATTAAGCTTTTTTTTTTGTAAATTTTGATACCCTTTAGATCATAATTCTTTATTTCATAAATTACGGTTTCATATTTTTAATTTTAGTGTCAGGTGCTGTGGAACAACTAAGTAAATCAAGGATTGATGCTTATTTTTGTCAACACTTTCATTTTCTTTGGTGACGTTAGATGATTTCATAGTTTAATGTTAGCATCTAACAGTTTTGATAAACAGTTTTTGTGTACATTTAACAGTTTTTGTGTACATTTTTGCATGCCATACTTAACCAAGAGTTCTTTTATGCACTGAATTTGGCTAAGTGATATATTTTCATTTTTTCAGTGTTAATGCCAAAACACTTTATTTTACCCCTGTCCCTCATTTCAAAAGTTTTACTGAGATTTTTCTTGATGTGTATCTTAGAAGATTCTTTTTTTGTTAGACTTCTAGATCATCTACATAAATAGCAGTTATGATGCAGTTATTAATTGCTTTCTGAACAAAGATACAATTATCTGATGTTAATTTTTCAAATTTGAGTTTCATTTCATCTAATTTTAGATTCTACATTCATCCAGCTTGCTTGTATCCATGAGTTGGCTTTTTCAATTTACAGATTTTAACCTTCAGAAGTACGAAACCCTCTGGTTGAGACATGAAGATCTCTTCATCAATTTTCCTGTTCAGATAAACTGATAAAACATTCATTTGATGTATTTTCAGATCATGTTCAGTATCTGCCATGTTCATATAGTCTTGTCCATATTTTTGCAAGCATTATTTAACAACGAATCTTTGTACTGATCAACAGTACCATCCGCCTTTTGCTTTATTCCAAATAGCCATTTGCATCCGATGCTTTTCTATTCTATCTGGTTAATTTCCATGTATTGTTTCTCATTAAGAAATTGTATTATTCTTGCATAGCTGCTCTTGCTGGATAAAACTTCTACAGTTTCTGCACCTGCAAAAACTCAAGTTAGCATATTTTTGCTAATAGAATTTTCTTGGTCTGCCTCATTTTCCTGTTTTTAAAAATCTAGACCTTCAGAAATTTTACCTTGGATTCTTGAGCATTTGGCACTTTGGAATTTTTTTTTTTTGCTTCTGAATTTTCTCCAGTAGGAACAAATTCAGTGAATTCCTGTTTGTCAACATTAAAGTTTGTTTTATCTTGCTTCAGTTTTCTGCAGTTTCAAAAATCTAATATCATGTATTATATTCAAAAATCTAATATCATTGTATTATTTCACAAGTTTCAGGTTTTCATAAATAATATGTTTTTGCTTCCTCAGATTATCCAATAAGAAAGTATTCTTCACTTTACGAATAAATTTATTCGAATTCATTAATGCAAAAAAGCTTAGCGTCTTATGATTCTGAAATGTGATATTGTAAGCTTTCTTTTAAACCATATTTCCTCGGGTGTTTTTTATCTGTTTTTAGTAGGACATGAATGAATGAGGTTATGAATGTTAAGTTGCTATTCATACCATTTATGCTCTGTGGGGTAACTTTGATTTGAACATCTTGGTGGGATGTCTGGTCTTGATTTTTGACAATTTGTCCCGCGACGTTTTAAAAAAGTCCCGATAAGCTAGGGAATGGCGTTAGAATACAGTTTTGGCGGCCATGTGGCTACTTCGCCAGGATATGTGTCTTATATTCTTTTTGTTAATTTTACAATGTTAAATGTTAATACAGTCAAAAGTTGTTAATCAGTTATTATCCGGATTATAAATCATCAGTTTAAATCTGGTAAGATGGCATGCAGAAATTGTAAAATTAAAAATATGAAACCGTAATTTATGAAATAAAGAACAATTATGATGTAAAGGGTATCAAAATTTACCAAAAAAAAGCTTAATATTTATTTGTTTTATTAAACATTTCTTTCAATGTAAGTTGTTTAAGTTGCTTCATTTTTTATGTGATAATACTTTCTCTTTAAAGAACAATTATGATGTAAAGGGTATCAAAATTTACCAAAAAAAAGCTTAATATTTATTTGTTTTATTAAACATTTCTTTCAATGTAAGTTGTTTAAGTTGCTTCATTTTTTATGTGATAATACATTATTATTAATACTATAAACAGACATAATTTCTTGTTCAGTTACAAAGTTCCGCTGTTCAAGTCCTATAATTGCTGTGTCAAGAATACCGACTAATTTGTGAATCGAAATTTTTTCATTTTCAATAACCTCTGTGTCACTTTCTTCGCTATCGGAAGCGAATTATAATGACGAGGAATTTGATTTAAATCATATCAAAGACGGAGTACATCGTGATGAAATACTACATTTAGTAAGGAATTATAAGCCAAATAAAATAAAAATATCTGCCCTGAAGATAAGGATAGTGCTGACAGATCAACTTCCAATTCATTGTGCGGTGCGGCGTCCCCCCCCCCAGAGCAGCGTGAAATTGATAAACAGATTTCGGAATGGTTAGATAAACAAAGGATGTGCCTTTATCCATTTTTTGCAGCAATTCCACTTTTTGTTTAATGGACTTCGCAACATACTTTCGCTTTGTAGATCCTTTACATATTAGTAAATATATATCAGAAATTCTATTTGACATAATCGAAAGTTTAAGCTTACTTTTATAAAATTGCTCTAAGAGTCTGCAAAAAATAATAAGCCGGATCCAATTCAAAGATCAAGGAACAACGCAATCTGCAACATTAACTGAATTAGATCATTTCAGCTTAGCTTATACAGTCCGTTATACATTAATCGTGCATTTGTAAATGTATTTTGCGCATGCGCACATGCATATTCGCAGCCATAAAGGTCTTACGTGCATGCGTCATTGCGACGCATGTTCAGAAAGTTTATAGCTTTGAGGTCCGGATTATAGATCATTAAGGATTATGGGTGTCCGAATTAACAACTTTTGACTGCAATAACAAATAATTGTTGATGACTGATTATCGAGAACTGCTTATCAAAGTTCGCATTGTTGATCAGTTGTTAGAATTCGACCACCGTTGTTTGGACTTAATGGCATTTTTTGGCATTGGCATTGACAAAAACATTTTGTAACTGTCTCTCAGACGCTACACATTGTATTGCGTGCTAGTGGTAGTTAAACAA